CCCAGAACATCCTGTGACCTTTCCCTCCCCCAAAGAAGAAAAGCTTCTTCGGAGATGAAGAGCCGAAGGCCCGCGGGTCAATCCGGACCTACTGATACATTAAGGTTTAAATCTTCATTGAAGAGAAGATTTAGGGTTTAGGGTTTAGGGTTTCCAAGATGAAGCGCGCCCTCGACCCCGGGGGTCGTGGGGGCGCGCGGCGAAAGCGGCATCCCCACCCCTTGACCACCCACATCTAAAACCTTTTAGGGTTTAGGGTTCGCAGAAACCCGGCCCGGGCGCGTCGCGTGCCATTTTTCGTGACGAGAAGAATCATCGAAGGTTTGGGCTCGGGTCTGGCCCGTCGGGCTGCCCGAAAGCTCGTTCCCGTCGTTTTGACGCTGGGGTCGGGCCCGTCGGGCTTCCCGAGAAAACTTTCTCGGCGACGGTTGAAGCTTCCGCGACAGCCTGGGAGGGGCGCGTCGCTCGCGCTCGCCGCGACAGCCTGGGAGGGGCGCGTCGCTCGCGCTCGCTTCCGTAATTTTGGCGCTGGGAGCTGGCCCGTTGGGCTTCCCGAAACAACGTTCCGGGCGACGGCCGAAGCTTCCGCGACAGCCATGGCAAACCCGCGCCGTCGCTCGTGCGCGCTCCGTTATTCTGGCGCTGGGGGCTGGCCCGTCGGGCTTCCCGAAACAATTTTCCGGGCGACGGCCAAAGCTTCTGCGACAGCCTCCCTCGCGCTCGCTTCCGTCGTTTTGGCGCTGGGGGGTGGCCGGACGGGCTTCCCGAAACAAGTTTCCGAGCGATGCAAAGCGGAGGGATCTTGGGCCGCAATGGCCGTCTTATCAACCAGAAGCGGACAAATTGCCAGATCTCTAAATTCGGGCTGCGGACGGCCGATTTCATATTGTCCCGTGTAAGGAGTTTATCAGCGGTCAAGCCGAGCCATTTTTATCAAGGCCTTTCTAAATTCGGGTTGCGGATGGCCGATTTCATATTGTCCCGTGCAAGGAGTTTGTCAGCGGCCAAGCCGAGCCATTTTTATCAAGGGCTGGCAGAATGGCAACTTTATCAAGGCCGGCCAGCCGCAGTGGCCGTTTATCAAAGCCGATTGCAGTTTTATCAAGGCCGGCCAGCCTATGGCCGTTTTATCAACAATGGCCAAGATTGCAGGCCAGTGGCCGCAGTGGCCGTTTTATCAATCAGAAGCGTGCAAATGGCCAGATCTGTAGATTTGAGCTGCGGATGGTCGATTTCATATTGTCCCGCGCAAGCAGTTTATCAACGGCCAGGTCGAGCCTTTTTAGAAAGAGCTGGCAAAGTTATCAGACCGGCCACGCAATGGCCGCTTTATCAAAGCCAGCCTCTTCGAAAGCTTTTTCAAAGCTCTTCACAAAGCTTCTTCTAAATTTTCTTCTAAAGCTCCTCGTAAAGCGTCTTATTCTTCTTTTGCTTCTTGTGCAGCTCCTTAGAAAGCTCCTTATAAAGCTTCTACTATAGCTTCTTATAAAGCTCCACACAAAGCATCTTATACAGCTTCTAAAGCTTCTTACAAAGCTTCTTATACAGCTTCTAAAGCTTCTTATAAAGCTTCTTCTAAAGCTCCTCGTAAAGCGTCTTATTCTTCTTTTGCTTCTTGTGCAGCTCCTTAGAAAGCTACTATAGCTTCTTATAAAGCTCCACACAAAGCATCTTATACAGCTTCTAAAGCTTCTTACAAAGCTTCTTATACAGCTTCTAAAGCTTCTTATAAAGCTTCTTCTAAAGCTTCGTAGAAGGAGCCTTGATAAAGTTCATAAGGAGGACTCTGCGCTTCGTTGAAGGTTTGGGGTTACTCCTTCTAAGGCCAGCTGGCGCTGGCAGCGGGAGCGACAGCTCCAAACCGCGCTCGTTGCAGAGGAACGCAACTCGGGGCGCTTCCGCTCGCTATGCCGGACTCGCTCTGCGCCAGCGCCAATGCAGCTGCTGCGGCCGAGCGCTTGCGGTACGGCGCTCGGCCTTGAGTTTAGGGTTTAGGCTGTGCTCAGAGGATGGAGGCTTAGGGCTAGCTGGCCCACCCCAATCCACCCGGAGTTAGCAGCATACCTTCGGGGGGGGGTTTCTTGTTCTTATTTCAAACTTTGCGCGGAGCAAGCGCGAGTCGATCGATCTGTTTCAAGAGAAAAGAAAAGGTTGCGCGAAGCTCCGGAGGCGCGAGACGAGAAGGGGAGCGCGGACGGGGCGAGGCGCGCGAAGTACGGTGACGATCTCCGGGTCGGTTCCAGCAAGACGCCGCCCAGACCGACTCGGGAGGGCTAAGTCGGCTAAGTGGCGCAGGCCTGGCAAGGGCTTTGGGGGCGTCGCCCAGAATCTGGGCCAGGGGGCTGCTTGGCAAGCCAGAAATGAGCTAAAATAGAAGGCATGCAGGGGCTGGCCCCGGAAAAACGCGCAAACGGCCCGGACCCCGGGGGCCGAAAGCGGCTTAAGACAGACCGCAGAGCCAAACAAACTTTTACAAACCCATAGGTTAGGAGCGAGAGTCACCAGGACCCGCTGGGCGGCCGGGCTGGGCAGTTGGAGAGGACCGGCTTGGGATTGAAACTTATGATCGGGCCCCAGACTGGGCGTCTCCCAGACAAGCAGGCGTCTCCCAGACTAGAACCACTAAGCGACTGGGGGTCCACCACGCTAGGCGTCTCCCAGACTAGGCGTCTCCCAGAGTCTGGGAGACGGGCTAGGCGTCTCCCAGAGTCTGGGAGACGCGATGGTGGTCTCCCAGAGTCTGGGAGACGCCCAGGGGGCCCCGGGAGCCACTAGGCGGCCCGGAAATCCCGGGCCGTGCGGCTAGCTGAAAACACTGGCAAAACGCTAGAAAAACGCTAGGAAAGCGGCCGGCCAGTGTTGGCCGAAAGAGGCCGCCCCGGGCCCCGTGTTCCCCAGAGCCAATCTAAGAACGAGAAAAACGCGCGCTTTTCAAAACATTAAGGTTAGGAGCGAGAGCAGCTGTGGACGCGTGTGAGCGTTCAGACGGCGCCGCTTAGCTGTCCCGGGCGGCCGAGAAGGAAGCCCGGGGTCAGACGTAGGCGACGGAAGGCTTTAAGGTTGCGTTTGCCGTCCGCCGATCGGTCGCTCGCCCGCCCCCTGACAGGACCCATGCCGGCGGCTGGAGAACACCAGCCTCGGCAACTGCGGCCGGCGACGTCCCATCCTTGAGCAACCGCGCGGGGCGGCGGCTGGAGAAGGAGCCCTTCGGAGGCGTCCGCTGAGTGGGCCGGCAGTCTCACTTCGTCTCACATTTGGTTTTTAACATGCTTAAACCAGTCGATAAGACTTATCCAGAGACACTGTCGATCGTTTCAGGACAGCAAGGCAAGCGCGATCAAGAGAAAACAGGAAAGAGGGAACCAGGTGCAGTTAGGCACGGCAAGTTCAATGTTGGCAACCGCTCAAGCAACTGACACATTTCATTTGAGGTTTTGACTCGGGTTGATGAGAACTTGCCGCCAAGAGTAAAACACGGGCCCGTTTGGAAGCGGATCAGAGGACTCCAGACATCAAGAAGTTTCCGGCAGCCACGCCGCCCAGCACTAGCAGTCTGTAGACGGAACTGAATAGTCGCCTGGTCATGTCGGCCTTCAAGCTTGCTGGTTCAGGAGTGGGGCAGGGCTGACAGTGGCAGAGTGGCGGCAGCAACCGCGGCCGGCGTCCCGTCCTTTGGCAAGCGGCGGCCGGAGAAGAAGCCCCTGGGAGGCCTCGAGCGAGCGGGCTAGGAGTTTCACCTGTGGCTTCACAGTTTTCTCATTTCAAGACACACGATCAAGCCACCGCAAAAAAGAGGCGGTTAGGGACACCCGACGAAGTCTAAACAGCTTTGCAAAGACGTTGGAACAAAGCGGCGGGTCCCAAGAAATCACAGGTCGAGATAGGGGCGGCCCCAAGAAGACACACCAAATTCAGCGGCGTGAGATCAGTCGAGCCGCAGACAAGGCAAAGGCTCGGGGCAAACTTGACGTCGTGGAAATAATCGCTTGCAAGGCAGAGACTTGAGGCAGCTTGACATCAAATCAGTGAATTATCTAGTCGCTCGACAAACCAAGATTGAGCCGCCGCAGCCTTTCCGGTCAAAGCTCGAAGCCCTAAGTTGCAAAGACCTTAGACAGCCGACCATGCCGTGGGCGGACAAAAAGAGCGGCGACAAGAAGAAGCGCGACAAGGACACCGACAAGGCGCCCGCCAAGGTCTTGGCCTGCAAGGAGTGGCACTTGCCGCTCAAGGCCCTCCTGCGCGCCTACCCGGACGAAGCGGGCTGCGTCTTGAAGGTCGGCGGCGGCAGCGTCCGAGAGGCGCTGGCTCCGAAGAACCTCCGCAAGAAGCTCAACGCCGAGAAGTCCGAGCTCATCGACCGGCCCGCCATGAGCCTCAACCTTGCGGCCGCGGCCCTTGAGGCCGGCATGGAGGCGGCCGCTGCGGAGGACCTTTTCGGCGACTTGGGCCTGCCGACGCTCCTTGAGAAGCTGGGCGGCGCGGAGGGAAAGAAGGCGTTGCAGCTGACCCAGAAGGGGGCGAGCGCGGACAAGGACGAGGTGGCTGCGGCGACCGCGAAGCTGTTCGAGTTGCTGGAGGGCGCGGAGGAAAGCTGGCAGACGGGGCCTCGCGGCTCCTGGCCGCGGCCGTTGCAGCCGCCGAGATGCGGGCCGCGCTCTCGGACCTCAAGGGCTGGGCGCAGAACGTCCCGCGGCCCGACCAGCAGGCGCCGAAAATCCGAGCCTGGACGGCAAAGCCGTCGGACAAGCGGCTGCTCGTCCAAGGGATGGCGAGCGCGCTCTGCAGCCGCTTCTACTGGGGCGGCGACCGGCGGACGAGGCGCTTCGGCGCGAAGTCCGCGTCCAAGTCGGCCACGGCGAGCTCGGCGACGGGAAGATGAAGAAGCGAGGCGGCGATAAGGAGAAGAAGAGCAAGAAGGACAAGGACGAGAAGCGGAAGGAGAAGAAGCGCAAGGCGGTCAAGAGATCGTCCTCGTCGCCCGCCCCGAAGTGGATCAGGAGGCAGGAGAACGCCGCGGAGGCCGCCCAGGCCGCGGAGGACGCGCTCCTGGCCGAACTGGAAGAGGCGGCGCCGGACGCCGCCTTGGTCAGCTGGCGCGAGAGCGACGTGGCTCGCTTGCGGGGGCGGACCAGATCACGACGCAGCCCATCTCGGAGGAAACCCTGGGCCTGCTCAAGGCATTGTTTGCCTTGGTTCCGGAGGAGGTGCGGACCGCCCACGGCCTGCAGAAGCTCCAGACGGCAGTGGAGGCCATGAGCAAGGCGCCGGCCCGGGGGCCCTTGAACAAGATCGCGGGCCGGGCGCGAGAGGTGGCCGAGGCGGCGGAGGCGCTGCGCGCGGCCCACGCCCGGAGAGCAAGCCAGCGGAGTGAGCAAGGCAGGCTTCCTGTAGACACTAGCTGGGGCAGCAAGATTGAACTGAGCCGCGAGCAAAAAAAGCCGCGCGGCAGCGAATTTTGGAGGGAGAGCGAAGACAGAGGGCTAGCCAAGGGGTCGGAAGTCAGCAAGCGTCCCGGGCAGAGTTTGCTTGAGCCACACTCGTTGAAACATTGACTGCTGGCTGAGAACTTGTTACGCGCGCCGACGCGTTTCAAAGAATCAAATCAGAATCCCCCCTAAGACGAATTCCGAACGCTCGCCGCTGAGCAATGGCCTGCTACTACGCTTGGCGCGGAAACCTCGTCTACGGCATCTACAGGCTTGCGCAGCCGCTCCGAGGTGAGCGAGCTCTTCGACCAGAGACGGACCTCTTGGAGTACAAGACTATGGTCGGCGGCTGGGTGGAGAAACTTCTGGGCCCGCTATGGTGCCTCAAGCACCCAGTTGGCCGGATGACTTGAGCAGCGGAGGTGGAAGAGGCGGAGACGGCGGCACCCAAGAGGCCGAGCTTGGCACCAGGCGCAAGCACGAATCAGTGCATTGGGCGCGGGCCCGTGCATCTACAACTTGCAGCGGCCGGGAGCCCGCGGCCGCTACGACAGCTCCGGCGACACGCGGCAGCGCCGGCAGTGCCTCATCTGCGACAGCGCCCGGCTCGCGAAGGCCTGCGGCAAGTCCAAGGGCCGCAGCCACGTCCTGAGCAAGGAGCACAACAAGTTCCTCGAGCGCGAAGGCGAGGAAGAGGCGCCAGAGCAGCGGCGCAAGCGCCCCTGGCGGGCCGCGGCCGGAGCAGAGCAGGCGCCGGCGACCCGCGGAAGACAGCGCCTCGGAGGATGAGGAGGGCGAAGACAGTGGGCGGCAGAGCATCAAGAAGTCCTTCATGAAGAAGGTCTTGGGGCCGATCGCCGGCTACGCCGGCTGCTCCAGTTCGTCTACGACCTCAGCGCCTGCAAGAGCATCCCGCTCCGGCTGGTCTTGAAGGGAGAGACGTTCTCGCCGCTCTTCAAGACAAGGCACGCCGCGCTGATCGACCTCCAGCGGCAATGCGGCCACCCGCAGATCTTCAAGACCAGCTTCCCCTACCACTTCTGGATCCTCAACGAGATGTCGCAAGCAGGGCGCCGACGTGGCGGGTCCATTGCGGAGGGTGAGCCGGAGCAGGAGCTTGCGGGCCTGGAGCACGCCCACGTCTTCACAGAGCTGGAGCGAGGCCTCTACACTGGCATGAACAAGCGCAGCAGCGCCGATGGCGGGGATGCCTGGAAGACGCGCCTGCTCGGCCCGACCGACAATGGCCCCGAGACCTGCCAGGCCTTCTTCTTCCGGCTGGAATACCAGGACGGCAAGCGCAAGGCAGCAACCCAGGCCTACCACGGCAGCGGGCGCGTCCGCTGCCACAGCCTGAACTACCTACGGGAGCCGAAGCGGGTCAAGTTGGAGGGGAAGATCCGGGCGACAGAGCCGAGCGCGGAGGAGGCGGCGCTGCGGGGCTACGCCCTCGGGAGGCCGCGACGCGAAGGCGCGGCGACGGGCTGGCCGATCCAGGAGGAGGAGTCCCACTGGGACGACGCCGCGCAGCTCCTGCGGCTCAAGCACACGGCAGAGGACACAGCGGCCGGGCACAGGGCCTACTTTCCCGCCACGCTGGAAATCACGAAGTGCCACCAGGACGCCTCCGTGGCCCGGCGGGTGCTTGTCGATTACAAGCCCTGCGAGCCGGAGCCTTGCGGCCAAGACCTTCCCCCCCTGCCGCTACAGTGGAACCATGGAGGAGCTACGGGCGCCCTGGCCGGGCATGAAGGAAGAGGCGCGGCCCAAGATCGTCCAGCTATATTAGCAAAGCGCATGGCGCCGCGAGGACATGAACTTGCTGGAGTTCGCCCGGAAAACCTTTTTTTTGTCACCGCACGCCTTGAGGCAATTGCCATCGGTCGCGAAACCTGCTAAAATACACAAAGAAGGAGAGGTGAAACAGATGGTGAGACGTCACTTGAAAAAGCCGGCGAAATTGGACAGGCTACAGAGGAGCCAAACAAACGAACAGAACAAACCAAAAAACAGCCAAAAAGGACAGCGAACAAACAAACCGAGAGCAGAAAGTTATTTCGCCAGCACGCGGAAGTGCATGTTGAAATTAATTACGGGCGGAAAGGAAGGCACCAAATGCACTGGCAACGCGCGGAAGAGAACCATGAGGCTGAGCGGAGCACAGACCATATGGTTCACTCGCAGAGCGCACTACACTCTGCCGGGGGCACATTTGCGCATCGTTAACCCCCGCACATGGCCATGCAGAGGAGCATATGCAAGGAGACTACACTGAAGGCGACACAGGAGTGCTCACACATAGTCAACACCACAAGTGAGCCAACTGCAAGGGCTGCACGTCATGAGGAAGGGACCATGGGCAGAAGCTGGTCCGTGATTTGCTTGGCAAGGTGGACGTAGGGGAGTAAACGGGATTGTGGCAGGCGCTGCGGCAAGCCCTGATGGACACTTTCTGGGCGTGGCGATCCCTGCTCGCTGCTGCGCACAGGACGCACAGATTTTGGGGCTGAGCGGGGCTCAAGACCACATGGTCCACATGCTACACTGCAGGGAGCAATGTAGCCGGTCGGTAGGGTGTCTGAGTGCTGGGACATCCGCCAGGGAGGAGTGGTGGCCCTCCCTGGAGATGTGCCCTACCGCCAAAAAGCGCGCAAGGAGCAGCTACCGGACAATGAGCCCGGGATGTGGGGCTACATGGCCGGCGTGCCAGGCACATTTTCCTGAGTAATGAACGGACCAGGCCACAAGATTATTGTGGGGGCACTGCCGTTGGCCTGAGCTAGGGTTGGAGTGCAGGGCAATGGACAGAGGACAACCGTGAGACCAAGCAGACCTTGGTACTACACGGTATTCCCCCCCAGCAGTCATGTCCTTGACAAAGGGGTCATAAGGGAGATGCAGAGTAGGGTTGACTGCCCGCCACACCGCAGAGGGCTGGCAGCCCAACCATTGCGGTGCCTGAAGGGCAGTAAGCAATGTGAACAGCACAAGTGTGCTCTGTCAAGACAAACCGAGTAAAGCGCAGAGCCAAGCTGGCACAGTGCTCCCCGAATCACATCTTACCAATAAGAAAGATTGTGGGTTTGCTTGAGTTAGGGAATGGGATACGGGACAGAGCGGCAGAAGATAGACAGAGAGACCGAGCGGGGCCGATCAACACTGCAGTCCTGCCACGGCATGTGACTACCTGGCACATGTTCGCGTTGGGAAAGCTGGGTAGGGGGTATCCCCATCCACATAACATATGGCGGGCGGTGTATAAAGAAAGGCTGGGGCTTAAGCAAGCATAGCGATGAGACCAGCACAAGGCGACTTGCTAACCTGCCATGGTGGCTCGGTGAGGCACAGTACCAAGCAAGGCACGGGTAGGCCAAGTAAAGGCAAAACCAGGCCGGACCATGAGCCCAAGACGGACTCCTGGCCGAGCGCGCGCACAATGTTCCAAGATCCCAGACATTGCAAGGGCCTGGCGCGGTACAGGTCCTATGGCAAAGCAATTGGCAAGCGACCGAATGGTTAGGGTTTGTGGTGCAAGGCAATTGGAGGAGAGAGACCGCGAGACCGAGCGGGGCACGGGACTACACGGACCTTCCGCCCCAGCAATCAATTTTCCGGCACGAATGCGAGTTGTGGGGGTAATAGTAGGCTGTAGTCTTGCTACAGCTTTAGCTTATCTGGCCATCTGGTGGTGTCGCCAAGCGCGTGGTTCCAAGAGCCCAGACCTTGCGGGGGCCTGCGCGGTGCAGGTCCTATTGCAAAGGCAGTGGCAAGCTGCCGAATGGTTAGGGTTTGGGGTGCAAGGCAATTGGCAGGAGAGAGGCCGAAAACCGAGCTGGGCACGGTACCGACAGCATCGAGTTTCCAGCACGGGTGCACTTCAGAGAATTTAATTTCGGGGGTAAGGTATCCATTTCATGGGCACCTGGGTTCACACGTCGCTAAGGCAAGGGCAGTGCGGTTTGGGGTGGGCAGAATGGAGGAAGGGGCCGCGAGACCGAGCAGGGCACGGTACTACACGGCCCTTCCCCCAGGCAATCCAAAGCGACACGGCTACACAAGAGGGTGTTCCTAGCCGAAGGAGCAAATAAGATCTACAACAAATTTGAGACCGCGGGGCCGATACTACACGGAGCTCTGAGCAGAAGTGCCCGTAATAGAGCTGCAAACCATGGGCCGCTCTTTTCAGCGCCGTCGCGGGCGACTGCCCGAGCTGCCTTGCTCAGCAGCCCGCGCCTGAACCCGTACCATATTAGTGACCGTATTGAATCCGAGAAGCGAGGGCTCACGGAGGAAGGCGGAGGCCGCCTGTGTATTTTTGGTACCTTGATTCATGAATGCTTTGCAGAGTGAGGCCGGATGGCTCCACATGGAAACTGTCCACAGATTTCAGAATGACCTCGGCGCAGTACTGTCAAGGACAAGGGGGTGCGGCTAACACGGCAGACATCAGCGCTGGGAAGTAGCTCCCGAACGACGAGCAAAGTCCGCAAACGTCTGCCCTTCAGCGGGAAGGGGGAGCCACAGGTCGGTCCGAATGGTGCAGGACCCGAGCTGCCCCACCAAGCCACAGTAATCCTGAACGTCAAAGTCCAAGCCCCTCCCATTCTGCAGTTGTTGTAGCAGGTGGAGCCTGTGGGGCTCAACGTCAGAAAAGCAAGGCGGGGTGTATGCGGACTTAAACCCCCCTGCATTCACGAAACGAACACCACGCACTGTTTGCACTTTGCCCTTGAGCAAGACTTCTCCCCCACCTTCCTCAGGCTGGGGGGAATGTGCGCAAAGATGGGCCATGGCTGCAGTAGGGATATGCACCTTCATGCGATGGAGAGGCCAATCACAAGGGCCAGCACGGCCATACCATTGGACGACTTGCTCACCGGTAGCAAGGGAGTCATCACCCGCCTCAAGCTCCTATCACC